AATTATTGTTTTCCACAAAAAATTTCATGTCGTCAGCTGTTCCAAACTATCGTCCATTTTATAGATCGATGATGCCATGTTATCTTAAGCACCCCATTAATCTTTTACTCCATGGGTAATAAATTATTTTGCATGATAAAAGAATTGAATATTTTGATTTTTTTACTCAAGTGGCTTTTGGTGGTATGATCTGTGATAATGAACCAATTCCAGATCCATAAGATTTCAACTCATGATCGCCGGAAAAACCTTCAATAGACCATAAGCAAAATTTGGTGCTACTAAGTTGTGAATTCAATATGAAACAAACAAAATTGTTGGCATAAACCAAAAAGGTGAGTAATAAACCCATTTTTTTAGTTGCCAAAAAACAATTAATTAAGAATATCAAATACTTAATAATTTTTCTAAAAAAAGTAAACTTCTTTTTTACTGAATTTAGTTTCATGCAGAATTACTAATGTGGAATCACAAAACAAAACAAAAAAAAAAGAAACAAAAAAAAAGAATAGGACATAAAAATAGTGAGATAAAGTGTTGAATTTTATTAAATAAAACCATTATAGAGTTTAACATTTAGTCCTTACCCTAACTTAATGACTTAATCCCTGTTTATAATGATAAATTGAACACTCGACTTAATCATTGCTTTCTCATACGATGTTCTCTCTGATCATTGTCTTTTGATATGACCAACCCAAATTATTATTCATATAACGTTTACAATAATAAGAAACATATATATTGATCAGAACAACTAATAAATTTATCATCTATATTTATAAGGAATATCATATTGAAGGTTAAAAAAGTACCAACAGGATAAGTCTTTGGAACATTTTGTCGAATGATGTCAAGGATGGAAGTGAAAACCAAAAAGTGATTCTGGTTTTGATGGTTTTTTAGTAGTTGCGTTTTGGTACTCTAGTTAAAGTCGATTTGATATAAATTTAGAGTGATATTTCCAAAAATTGGACTGAAATGAACATCAAAATCATTGAAAATAAACTAATATCTTTCTAATGTTTGGGAGTACATCAGCTCGTAGTTGCAAAAATGTTTTTTTTTTTCTGAAGACATGTGTTTTTTTTTTTTATGTTTTGTTGGTTACATTTCTTATGTCATGTTTGATGAACTGAACATTGGACTAAAAGGTGAGACAACTTTTATGAAGGTGATTATAACGTCTATAAAATTCATGAGAATTGATTTTGTAAAAGAAGTTGTATTTCTAGAGATGTAATTAACAATTCCTTCATAAATAATAAGTAACTTATAGCACTTGGGAGGGGATCATGTAAAATGCTCATGTCCCTGGTTCGAGGGGATGTACGAGGTTAGGCCCAAAACCTCTTAGTTATTAAAAAAAATGAGTAACTTATGGCACAATAGTTACTCATTTTTTTTAATAACTAAGTAGTAGATTTTATCAAATCATTCATTGTTGCTAAGACAATAGATGAATCAGAGCTTTAAGTCAATGCTAGTGCACACTTCGGAGACACAAATAAAAACCAAAGTTGTAGATGATGCCGACCGCGGGGTAAAGGATAGGTATGTGAAGAGTATGGATGACTTTGCGAGGAACGAAATAGTAAGAAAGGGCGAGTAGAAGCTGTTATATTCGTGTTGCAAGTTGGAACACTACTTGGTGGAGTCATCATACACACACACTGGTGAGACTCTTATGGAGAAATGGTTCACAGATACAGCAACCCACGTAAGAAGAGGAGAGTGGATGGTGAAATGGTTTTTTATTTTTTTTCTGTATGAGAGCGAGGAGGTTATAATCAAATCTCTCAATAACATACCCTCATAAAACAGTCACAAAGTGATTTATTTCTTTCGAATAGCAGCGAAAATACAACCTTGTTCAATTTGTGTTTAAAATGCATCAAGCCATGTCTTCTTTTGACCTCTCCAAAACCGATTGAACAACCACACAGAATCCGCTGCCACAGAGTTCCCATCTTGGTTCCTATTCCAGCTGAAGTAAGCATGAGTTCTGTTTTTAATCTCTAGCAACCCGTGCCCAAAGCTAGGTTCTCGAAAGGCGGAGTATTTTGGTTGTGGCTGCATCATGCTACAATATAGAAAAAGCCAGTCACATAAAAGTTCAAAGAAAGTGTAGAGTTGTATATCAATAACAGAGTTAGTTACAGAGTCGGTTACAAGTAAGTTACTCTGTTATAGATTGCAGAATATGTTAAACTTACTCAGTAACCAAGCCTTCCGAGTTTCCTCCATCCCCGATCGTTATGTATACAGGAGCTGACTCATCCGGTATTGGCTCACACAGTCCATTGACAATGTTGTAAGCAATGTTAGAAACACGTTCCTGCGTCATTACTTTAGGATCATTTGGGGACAAGGCAGGAGTAGACATAGATCAATTTTATTGGGGGACGAGTAAATTAACTTACCGATCTCTCATAGGCATGAACATGACCTGCAAACACAACATCAACCTTGTATTTAACAAACCATTGTTCGTACATGACTCTCAATGTTTCACCTTCCATGTAATGATGCACATAGCTACTGTATAACGGGCAATGTACTAAGACAATAAGCCATGGCGTCTCTGTTCGATTCACTCCTTGCAATTCCTTTTCGAGCCATTTGTATTGAGGTGTGTATTTCCCTAATCAAGAATATGCAAAATTAAGTAACAAGCTACTAAATAGTTCTTTATTTATAAAGCAGTTCTTCTCTTTAATTCCTTACCATAAGACGAGTAACACGACATAACAATAATATAAGCCGACGCCCTTTTGATGGAATACCACAATGGAGATATACTTCCCGATGCCTTATATGGCGTATGATACCGATTCATAAAAGGCTTGAATGGTTCTATTTCACCCTATAAAACAACCTCTTCAAGTTTTAAGCAAAAAGTAAGAAAAAGAAACAAGGAAAGGAATAATATTCAAGTCTTACAATGTCAGGAACGAAGTCGATTTCGTGGTTGCCAGCAGTCAATATCCAAGGTTGATAAGCAACACTTCTCTCAACGAACCTTCCCCAAGTATCCCATCTATTGTTGTCATGGTTAGGGTAACGATCCGCGTAAGACAAGTCTCCTACAAACAGAACAGCCTGTCCTTTCCCCGGATTCATCTCATAATGGCTTAACGTACTATTTGAGTCATAAGTTTGTCCTAGATCCCCTGGAAGGTAACAGAAAATCACACATTGGAAAGTTGTTTGAGACATTAATTAATCAAATGTCTAAGGTTTTGTATGAAATTTAAAGACAATATTTAATATACCAATTAATCCAAATGTGTAAGGTACGTCAGGGCCTGGTTTAGGCGGAGTGAAGAACCAGAACCGTCTGGACCACCTGCCACTCCCAATTTCGTAGTAGTATTTCGTATCAAACTGCACACGACCATGTAATGAATGAATAAGAATAAAAGAACCGTAACTAAATTACAAACACAAAAGTTGTTAAAAGTGTGTTTAATATAAAAATATCGGATCCGAACCGAAACAAACCGATCTAAAAACCGAATTATATTTTAATATGGTTTAAATGGATTTATTTTTCTTAAATCCAAGAAAAGAAACGGAATCTGAATCCAAACCCAACCGAAATACTTGATCGAAAACCAAACTATATTTTAGCATAATTTAAATGTAGGGGGTGATTGGAAGAGGCTTTAAGGGCTTTATATATTTTTTTAAGTCTTAAAAGCCAAATATTTATCAATCACAATTTTAGGACTTTAGTTTTTTTTTTAAGTTCTTAAAGTCTAACTGCCCACTTTTTTCTTTTTTAAGTTGAATTTTCTAAACTTTCAAACAAATAATAAAACTTTAAAATAAATAATAATTCAAAACTTTTTTTTTTCTTCTCCTCGTAATAATTAGAATCTTTCTACATGTTTACATATATTGTTTCACAAATATTTTTTGATAAATTAATTATTATCATTTTTCAATCTTTCTTTTAAGATCCATTTCAATAATAATCATTTTATTTTCATAATTACCATTAATATTGGTATAAAAGAGTTTATAGAATAGTATTTTTAATAAAACATATACTTACCATTTCAAATTTTATTTTCATAATTACCATTTCAATCTTTCTTTCTACAGTCAAAGTCTCTATAGTCAAAATTTCTACAGCCAAAATTCTTAAAGCCAAAGTCTATAGAGCCAAAACTAACATCCTCTTCCAATCACCCCGTATTCATTTTTCTATATCCATGAAACTGAATTTGAATCCTATCTAAATCCGAAGTTTCATTTTCTAAATTAAGGATATATTCGACTATAAATAGAAACCATAACCATATCAACCATCAATAAAAGATTAAAATTAACCAGAAAATCCAAAGGAAAAAAAACGCTAAACCAAACCGAAATCCGGATCAAAAACCGCTTTAAACTTATAAGACTTACTTTTAAATCATTGATGAGGCAATGATGGATGTAACCAGAAGTGTAATTAAAGAATCGGTAAGTATTAACGGTTCCTTCTGCTTGTTTCTTCGATTTCTCATTCTCAGACCAATAATGAACAGTATTTGAACCAGGCTTAACCGGAGTCACCCAAGAAATAATCACTCCATTACCTTCATGGTTCCCTTGCGTTAAATGAACTTGTTGAGGTGAATTAGGACCAGGAGGAAATGCAAAGACATCGCTGTCTAATGGCATGTCATCTGGTAAATCACTTGCTCTGACATATTCACTGGTGATTCCTCCATGGCATAACTCAACAAGAACACATAACAAGAAGATTATGAAAGAAACTCGTTTGATTTTGAGGTCAGATCTTGAACTCATCTTCAAGGTTAGATTTTCTGAATCCGAGACGAAGAACGTGCTTTAGATTTTTTTTTCTTTATCGGGAAATTAAATAGCCTGACATGGACATTGTTGACTTTTGAGTTTTCCAACAAGAATCGTGAGAGGATATTCCAAATTTTTATTTCATATTTTTAATTCCTTAGAAATTATAGGACAGAAAGATATTGTTGGGCAACAAAAAAAAAAAAAAGAACTTTCTAGTTCTACTAAATCTAGGGATCTCATATAATCATTACAAAAAGATTATATATTGGAAGGGTCAACCACTTTTTGCTTGACATATGTTTACGGTAACCCGGAGAGAAAGCCAAGACAACAACAATGGCTTATGATGGAAACTTTGGTCAAAGCTGGTCTCTACCACATCAAGCCAAGGATGGTCATAGGTGATTTCAATGAGATCCAAGATAACTCAGAAAAACTAGGAGGACCTGCAAAACCAGAATGGGAGTTTGCCAATTTCAGAAGGATGATGAGAGTTTCTGGTTTACATGAAGTTAAGACCTATGGTGGCCCTTATACCTAGATAGGTAACCGAAGCACTGGCACTGTTAAATCCAAGTTGGATAGAATCGTTGCAACTGCAGACTGGAAGGATAAATTTTCTAAGGCAATGGCTCAACTCTTGGATTGGATAGGTTCTGACCATCGGCCTCTATTACTTCAAACTGAGAATAACAAATGGAAAGGCATGAGGCAATTTAGGTATGATAACCGCTGGAGGTATAAGCAAGATGTTCATATGGCTCTGCAAAATACGTGGGATCAAGGTTGTAAACACTTGCCACCACAACAATTCTATGAAGCCTTGAAGCGTTGCAGGAACGATCTATCGCGCTGGAAATCAGAACAGAATCTTAATTCTCACAAATTGATTCAACAACTCCATCATGCCATTCAAAAAGCGTATGACTCTCCTTCCCCAGATTACAATTATATTATGGATCTTAAATGTAAATTACAGCATGAATATCGAATGGAAGAAGAGTATTGGCGCACTAAGAGCCGCATTCAGTGGATGCAAGCTGGAGACAAAAACACAAAATATTTTCATGCTAAAACGCAGCAAAGGAGGAGTCACAATCGCATTACATCAATTCAAGATGCACAGGGCTTTATTAAACAATCAGAGAAAGAGATCCAAGAGGTGGTGCATTCATATTTTACTGACATTTATTCTTCTTCTGGCAGTATTCATTTGGAACCAGTCCTGCAACATATACAGCCCAAGGTCACAGAAGAAATGAACCAACATCTAACCAAGCCAGTCTCTGAGGAGGAAATCTACAGGGCTTTATCCCATATGAATGTTGACAAGGCCCCAGGTCCTGACGGGTTAAATGCAGGATTCTACAAATATCATTGGAATACAGTCAAAGCAGGTGTGATTAATTTTATTAAATGTTTTTTCCAGTCTGGTTATCTGGATCCTGCTTTGAATCATACTTATATATGCCTAGTGCCTGTTGGTGTCGGATCCCGCACCAGAGGTCCGGGACCAACCAAAGATTGCCACATAGTCAGGATAACGGCCCATAAAGGATAAAGCCCATTAAACCCGCGAGTCAAAGGAACAGTCGAAGTGGTTATCACCACAAGGAGAATCCGAAGTGACGGCACCTCGACACGAGTCCAGAGACAAAGTCACGGTTAAGTCGGTCCAAGGACATTTGGGCCAAAAGGCGAGGCCCATGAAGATCAGAATCAACTCAAATTCGAACGTTAAGTATTAAAATCAAAGATCAAAACGGACATATTTAAGAGAGAATAATTGTACTTAATTAGCCATTTAAATGTCGTTTTTTCTATGTATAAATATAAGGGCCAATAGCCATGTAAAAAGGGATCTTTCTCTCGAGTAAGAAATACTATAGCAATTTTTGTAACAATTCATAAGCTCTTTACATATTCGTTTTTGTCCCTCAAGAGTAATCTTTTCTACTTAACAAAAATACTTGAGTGTGTGAATCCGACATCCACATTTTGGCGCCGTCTGTGGGGACAGAGGATTCTTGAGTGGTCAGATTTTTCTTTACTATATTTCCGAGATAAGCAGCAATGTCCGGAGGAGACGCCGTTGAGTTATCATTGGCCGAAACCCTCAAAGCCATGCAACAAACCATGTCGGAAATGTCGCAGAAGTTCTCGAATGTGGAAAAGACCGTCGACACGTTACAAACATCCCAGGTATCTCTTAGTCAAAACGTCAGTACCATACAAACTCGTGTTCGCTCTTTAAGTGCAGGAAACCTTGTGGGAATCCGAAGAAGGATATTCAACTCGCCAAGTTCCGTTGCGCGAAATGAAACCAGCGGACAAACGACTCCTGGTGCTACTAATACGGCGGTTCAGCCGTTGGAAGGAGAGACACAGCTCGAAGATGAAGATCAACTTGCAGATCAATACGAGCAGGAGAACCTCGACCAGTTCGAGACCATGAGGAAGGTTAGCCAGGAATTAAAAGAAATGAAATCAAAATTTCATCAAGCTACAAGTTCGGAGCCAGACATCAATCGAGTCATTGAAGAAGCTAGGCGAACACCTTTCATCTCGCGAATTGCAAGTTTGAGAATCAAAGACTCCCGGAAGCTCAAGTTGGATCCTTACAGCGGATTGGAGGATCCAAAGAGCTATCTCGCAGCTTTTTTGATCGCTGCTGGAAGAGTCGAATTGGATGAAGCTGATGAAGACGCAGGGTAATGCAAGCTCTTTTCGGAAAATCTATGCGGCCAAGCTCTAATGTGGTTCACCCAATTATAGCCGGGTTCGATCAGCAATTTCGACGAACTATCAGCTGTGTTCTTAAAGCAATATTCCATCCTTATGGATAAAAGCGTTTCGGATGCCGATCTTTGGAACCTATCACAAGGATCAAATGAGTCACTTCGAGTTTTCATCACCAAGTTCAAAGGAGTGCTGTCAAAGCTCCCAAGAATCTCACAACAATCAGCTTTATCTGCCCTACGAAAAGGATTGCGACATGATTCAAGGTTTAAAGAGGATTTAATACTTCATAAACCAGACACAATTCAGGATGCACTCTTCCGCGCAAACAACTGGATGGAAGTAGAGGAAAAAAAGAAAATTTTGCCAAAAGAAATAAACAAGAAAAGCCGGCAATCACCGTCCCTACCAAGAATGCACTCTTCCGCGCAACCCTTCAACCCTTCAACAACACTGTCGGAAAGCAATTCCAAGGGAAAGGAAGGTCAAATACTTGGGTCCGTGATGAAAGTTTATATTGCGACATTCATAAAGTAACCGGACATTTAACCAAGGATTGTAGTGTCCTTAAAAGGCACCTCGCGGAGCTTTGGGCCAGTGGAGATCTTTCCAAATTTGATATAAAAGATTTTGTGAAAGAATACCACGAAGCAAAGAAAAACTCCAAAGATCAAAATTTCAAAAGACCAAGGTTATCCAACGAGGAAGAACCAAGGAGTTCGAAGGGTAAGATCAATGTGAGTCTAGGAGGTTCCAAATTTTGTCGAGATTCGATAAGTTCCATCAAGAAACATAGACGAAATGTCTTACTCAAAGCAAGTTTGGGCGAAGAAGTCAATTTTCAAGGTGCATCAATATCATTTAACGAAGAAGAAACACGGCACCTCGAAAGACCTCATGATGATGCCCTGGTCATTACCCTTGACGTTGCCAACTTCGAAGTATTGAGGATCCTTATCGATACAGGCAGTTCGGTCGACTTGATCTTTTTAAGTACTTTAGAAAGAATGAGAATTAGTCGGGCGGACATAGTAGGACCTCCATCCCCATTAGTTGCGTTCACAAGTGAGTCAGCCATGTCTCTCGGAACAATCAAGCTACCGGTCCTTGCCAAAGAGGTGTCAAAGATCGTAGATTTTGTAGTCTTCGATAAGCCCGCGGCTTACAACATCATTCTCGGGACTCTCTAGATTTATCAAATGAAAGAAGTCCCCTCTACATATCATCAATGTATCAAATTTCCAACATCAAGTGGAGTGGAAACAATTCGGGGAGATCAAGAAGCTTCACGGACGTGTTATCTAGCTAGCCACCGTTTGAAGATCCAATAGCAATTAACAAAACCCGCAAAAGAGGGACTAAGACCAACATTTCCTAGCAGACAGGAAAAAGAGGATGTAGTAATCGAAGTGGTGTTGGAAGAAGATAAACCAGATCGGAAAGTCCGAATTGGAGCAACTTTGACTGGCCAAATAAAAGAAGCTTTGATTGAGCTTTTAAGGAAAAACAAAGCATCATTTGCATGGTCAGCGGCGGATATGCCTGGCATAGATCCAAGCATAATTTGTCATGAACTAAACGTGGATCCAAGCTTCAAGCCGGTAAAACAAAAAAGAAGAAAGCTCGGAGCGGAGCGAGCAAGGATAGTAAATGACGAAGTGGACAAACTTTTAAAGATAGGGTCCATAAGGGAAGTACAATACCCGGAATGGGTAGCAAACACTGTCATGGTCAAAAAGAAGAATGTAAAATATAGGGTTTGCATCGACTTCACAGACCTCAATAAAGCATGTCCCAAAGACAGTTTCCCACTCCCGCATATAGATCAACTTGTAGAATCCACCGCTGGGAATGAACTGTTAACCTTCATGGATGCCTTCTCGGGTTATAACCAAATAATGATGAACCCCAAAGACCAAGAGAAAACGTCATTTGTCACGGATAGAGGTATCTACTGTTACAAGGTAATGCTTTTTGGATTGAAAAACGCAGGAGCAACTTATAAACGGTTGGTTAACAAAATGTTCCACAATCATCTCGGGAAGACAATGGAAGTCTACATAGATGATATGTTGGTTAAATCGTTAAAGAAGGAGGATCATGTTAAGCATTTAGAGGAATGTTTCGATATTCTCAATAAATATCAAATGAAGCTAAACCCGGCGAAGTGTACATTCGGAGTCCCATCCGGAGAATTTCTCGGCTATATCGTGACCGAAAGAGGGATTGAGGCCAATCCAAATCAGATCAACGCCTTTTTAAACATGCAGTCCCCAAGGAACTTCAAGGAGGTACAACGGTTAACTGGGCGGATTGCGGCTTTGAATCGTTTTATCTCGAGATCAACAGATAAGTCGTTACCTTTTTACCAAATTTTAAAAGGAAACAAAGGATTCCTTTGGAATGAGAAGTGTGAAGAAGCTTTTGGGCAGCTTAAGGCATACTTGACTACTCCACCTATATTTTCCAAACCAGAAGTGGATGAGAAGCTTTATTTATATGTATCCGTTTCCAACCATGCGGTTAGCGGAGTCTTGGTCCGTGAAGACCGCGGGGAGCAGAAGCCAATCTACTACATAAGTAAGTTAATGACGGATCCGGAAACCAGATATACAATGATGGAAAAACTCGCACTCGCGGTGGTGACTTCGGCTCAGAAGCTGCGTCCATATTTTCAATCCCATCCGGTCAAAGTATTAACCAACCAGCCACTTCGAACAATTCTTCATAGTCCAAGTCAGTCCGGACGTTTGGCGAAATGGGCAGTGGAATTGAGCGAGTACGATATAGAATTCAAAAGCCGAATCAGTATGAAGGCTCAGGTTTTAGCAGATTTCCTGACCGAGCTACCAATACCTGGCACGCTAGAACAACCGGAGAACCAAACTTGGAAATTGCATGTAGATGGATCTTCATCAAAGCAGGGATCCGGAGTGGGAATCAAGTTGGAGTCTCCAACATCGGAAATTTTAGAACAATATAATCATTCCGATTGTTATTTAATGCTTCCAACAATGAGGCAGAATACGAAGCCCTAATTGCCGGACTTCGATTGGCACAAGGTGTTGGAGCTAAGGAAATAGTCGCTTACTGTGATTCGCAATTGGTAGTTAACCAGTTTAATGGAGACTATGAGGCCAAGGACTCAAGAATGGAAGCATACCTCGAAGTGGTAAAGGATCTATCTAAAAATTTCTCGAAATTTGAGTTAATTCGCATACCTCGGGGAGAGAATACAACCGCGGACGCACTTGCTGCGTTAGCATCAACATCAGATCCTGACTTGAAAAGAGTTATTCCAGTGGAATGCATCTCGGAGCGAAGCATTCAAGATAACAAAGAAACCCTCATCGTTACTAGATCTCGAGCAGCGGTACGTGACCGTGGCAAACCAGAGGTCGAACTGCCACCCATTAAACGAAGGAAATTAAGGGGATCGAACACATCTAACAAGGAACCCAATGTCTTAACAGAAGATGAGATTCCAGAAACAGTATTAGGGACCGAGCCATTAATCGAGGAGGATACTCTTGAACCAAACGAGCATCCCGAACCAGAGCCACAAGTATTTCACAAGGTCGACCAAATTCTGGCTAAAGACTGGGGGGCTGACTGGAGGGAGCCAATAAAGTACTACATCATGACAGGCGAGCTCCCAAAGAATAAGTGGCAGGCCAGGAAAATGAAAATCGTTAGCGCAAAATTTTGTCTATCAAAGGATGCATTGTATAAACGAGGTATCAGTGACCCTTACCTATTATGCATTTTTGGGCCCGAAGTCGAAATCGTCATGAGCGAAGTGCATGAAGGATTATGTGGGAG